CAAGTCGGCCGCGTCCCGACGCCATAGATCGCTCGACGAAGACTGCGTTCGTGTGCGCGTATTCGCGTACTTACGTACAAATGGCCATGCATGTCGCGACCTGCGGTAACCTCGGCGACCTGCAGGTTCACATGTCGGGCCGCCGTTGCCGCCGCGTCGGAGTGAAAGCCTTGTCGTCGATAATACTGCACCGTAAGCACATAATTGCCTCTTGCACTCGTACTTGCGCACGGTACGCGCGAGTTGCGCGGTCACCGCGTGCGATGGACAGCGCAGACGCGATGTAGTGAAAAAAACTACGATGGAATGCAGTAGACTGTATAACGTGACGTGGTAATTTACTCGTTTGCAACGCGAACAACTCGCAAGAAGCACAAAGGACTATGACCAATTTGGGTCCCGGCTGAACAGTATTGAGACCTGGCTAGGATTGTAGAGCATCAAAAAAGAATTAAAAAGTTCCATGCACAACTTTGTAAAATGAGTCCCTTGAGTGCTACAGCTGTTCAAAGTTCGCTATTATGATCATGTATTGTGTATCATGTAGGACTGGTTTTATTCGATTTCTCGAATCATCTACACTGAAAAAAATTTCTGGTTGAAAATGGACGAATCAGAATTTTCTGATTAAATTTATTAGAATTCTAGTTGAAATAACAGGAATTCTGGTTGATACAATATTTCTGGTAAAATCTACTAGAATTCTCATTTTTACCAGAATAATTATATCAATCAGAATTCTAATTATCTCAACTAGAATTCTAATAGATTTAACCAGAAAATTCTGATTCGTCCATTTTCCACCAGAATTACTATTTAATCCAACCAGATCATTTTTCTCAGTGTAGTATCTGGAATATGTCCAATCTTGACGAAGACAACTAAAACCTTTTTTGGATCCCAAATGAATAGTTATAAGTGATATATTAATCGATGAAGAGGGGAGAGAGACACTCAAAGTATGAAACGAAAGGTTTTAATTGCCTAATTGAAATGTGGTCAATATACTAGTATGTTCTAGGAGCACTCAGGAAACCTCTCCTATAAAGTTAGGCTTATGGAATTTTTGATTTTCTTTTGATACTTTAAAATTTCAGGCATGTCTCAAAATTGTTCATCCGGGGCCCAAATTCCCCTATAAAACTGGGCATAATCTTTTGTGCGCAGCGCGTATTGAGCCTCCAGAAAGAGACATAGAGCTCTAGATGTATCAAAGTAGCATAAAGCTCCTTCATGTTTGCCCTAATACTATATTAAATTCAAGAATTAACTAAGTCCTTATTGGACGATAGGCTATCAGATAAAAGATAGCGGTCGAAGTACCCGATAAGAAAGTTGTCAGCATTTAGCTCAGATAAAAGGTTTGCGTTACTCTGGTAGATTTAAAGCTCTAAGGAATTAGGAGACAACACACTACAGATAATTAATGCCGGTGTAATTAACAACATTTTCCACACGCACGGAAAAAGAATGCAATCCTTTAATCTTCTTTAGTCTCCTCTGCTGGTCGCCAAAGACTCCCGTTTCCTGGGAAGTGCAGAGGTAAAACGATAAGAAACGGTATACGCACGTCGACATCGTCGGAACTTTTTGTAAACGCGTTTCTCTCCCTTTTGTCGTGTTGATATTTTACTCAAGATTCCTAGGAATATTTCACGTGATTGGTCGATGTCAGTTACTGCGATTGATTTTTTTGCGACAATTTAGGCAAAAAGCGACGCATCACTATAAACATTTGTCATGAAACTTCAAAGTTTCAAATGATTTTTAGATTTTTTGCTTGTGCCATATTTCTATATTTTCCAATTGCCGGAAAAAAGAACACTTTGAATTAAAAAGATAGTTGCTTGGTAGTTTTCTAACTACATCTACACGTATGTAAAACCACAAGTCATTACACAGCGATAACAACGCCAATAACAATAACAATAACGAGGAAAAGAACTTGACGAGTATATAATATTCTCGTAAGTCATAAATTACAAATTGCGCAGGTGCACATCAAAGTTAACAATTTTCTAGTCAGAAGTTTTTATAGCCATGATAACATATCTCCAATTGTTTTCCGAGACGTTGTCTTATCAAACAGTTGTAACATTGATTATTTATCACGCTTCTGATCTAATATATGTACTTCGACATACGAATATCTGCTTGAATATTATATATTGAACAATATATTTATCGACATTATCGATCTTTTTCGCATGAATTAGACGCATGGATAAAGATAAAATTGATGGCATATGCATAGTTCTACGAAATAAGTGATCTAAAACGAATATTGAACTTTTTCTCCTTCGTTTTACATTAAACTTCTTCCTTTTTTTCGTATGTTTTTTTCTCGTCTAATCACTGCTCATCATTCAGTACTTATCTCTTCGACAGCTATGAAGAAAAGAAAAAAATACTCCGTTCCGTACATCGTTTAATGTTACTACGACGAAAGATTGTGCCAAGATTTATTCTGAACAAAGTGTACTGCGGATTACGGATCCAATACAGATTTAATGTTTATTCTTGATATGAAATGGAATCAAGAATGTAAAGAGACCCCAGAAGAATATCTCCAAAATTTTTCACAAGGTAAGAAAAAAAAACGCTTTAAATTACGATACTTTTTTAATTCAAATACATGTAATTGCCTTAAAAGCCAGATACAAGATATTGATGTGTTTAATATTAATTTATTTGATTATTTGATAATTAGACAAACGTTTCGATCCATGTTTGGGATCCTTTTCAATGCAATGTAGTACAGTCCAATGGGTTGATGATCCACATCGTGCGGTATCAAAGTCGAGTGCGCGAAAATATTCCAACAAGAATCATTAAACTTCCAGGTACGATAATCGTTATTGGGCACATTATTAGAAATGATAACCGTTTGCGTGTTACAAGTCATTTAATACTTTTTTAAATAATGAAAAACTTTCATTGTAGATGCAAAGCAGCTCTGATGATGATGTGTTGATGACAGTTGCACAGAACTACTTACGTTCCCGAGAGCTTAAAACGCCAGTCAGACGCGGTCTGCAATCTGATACCTCGCACCTAGCGATCCCACATTTCCAGGGGTGCGTATCGGGTTCCCAAGGTGTGCGCACGCGAATCCTGTTTCGCATCGCGCGTCCTCGGATTAGCATCGCATTATCGGGAAACGCTCTCGCGAGAGGCGTCGCGAATGGAGAGCGCGCAAACGGATCCATTTCACGTAAGCCGAATTCATGAGGCTCAGGTTTTGCCGCTATGGCCCCGGGTGATGGCGGCGCATTCTCTTTACTTTGCCGAAAGAACGTGCCCGATCTCGCCACGACCGGGGTTTACCCGCCGTCTTTTCTCCGGTCTCGGCCACGATCTTCGGAGCCTATCCGCACCTCTTCAGGCACAAGTGTGCCGAGGACGCACTACGCGGGATAGTCGAGAGACTTCTCATCCTCTCGCCGTCACCCTTCGTATTGCGAGACAGACGAGAAAAGGCAGGATAGAGAAACAGGAGAGAAAGTAGACGAGAGATCAGGTATCAAGTGTAAAAAAAGATCATTGTACGGAAGCATCTGACCGTAGGGTAGGAACTACGGTGATGGTGCGAAAGGATGGAGTGAGATGGAAAGGAATATTCTTTTTAGAAGGAAAAGGGTTAAGAGGAGACAGAGATGAAGAGAGAGCAGGAACGTGAGGGAACGATCCTTCGTGATGGAAAAGACGAAGAGACGATAGGAAGAGGGTGAAAGGAAGAGAGGGAAATGCACCAAAAGCGTTGGCAGTTTATAAGGGTCCCCGGTATTGTGGATACGTATTATCATGCTAAATATAACATGTTAACTACTTCGCATAATATAGCGATCCTCTCGATTCTTCTCCCGTACGGTCGATCGGTGAATCGCGCTTCTTCGCGCGCGCGCGCGCGCCACGCATCGAAAATTTTATTGCCGAATTCGGCAGATGCAGCGTGCGACGCGCAGCGGAAATGTAGCGCTGGTTTTCCTCGCTGATTTTATCCGTCGACAGGGCACGAAGAAAGGAGAAAGAAAGTACGACCCGTCTCTTCTGTTTCTTTGAAGATACCAATTTAATTATCATTTCAATGAATACGTAGAATTTAAATAACATTAGTTATTCCTAATTATATAAAGATAAAAACTACTACAATACTCATATTATATTAATAAAGTGATATCTATTATTAAAATTATATTATTATTTTTAATATATTATTATTTTTTTTTTACATTTAATGGACTGTTTAAGGATCTGATCTTTTTAAGTTAATGGATCAATTCTAAACAGAATCTAAGACTCGTAACGTATTCTCGTAAAACTTGTAAGAACTTATGACTTAGTATTTTAATTTTATGTGTATGTATCGTATAATTATATTCGTAAATATCTACGATTTCTTGTAAATTTTATGGTTAGTAAGAAGCTGTCAGTAAAAATATTAATAAAGGTATAAGTACTTAAAAATTCTTACAAGTCTTACAGGAATATGTTACGAGCCTTACGATTCTGCTTAGAATTTAGGCATAAGTCTCATAGTAAATTCGATGCTTACATCCATTAATTTTTTAATAAGATTAAAAAAATAATGAAAACATGTATCTACTAGGTATTGCAATTAACTTTATATTATATTTAATATTTAAGACTTTGTAAAAGAATTTTTGTTATCATTGAAATTTTGAAAAAGTTTCAATTCTGAAGTTAGACATATAAAAAAGAAATGCAATCCTCCTTCACTCGTCGTAACATTTGTGAATGCGAAAAATTCAATCTTTTTTATTGAGCGGCCAATGTCAATCAAAAATGCTCAGATGGCCCAGATGGCGGATCCCATAAAAAGCAAACGGAAGCAACGCGAATGGGCCTGAATCGATCTCGATATACATAGCGCGAATTCGTCACGCGTTCTTAGGGCGCGATGCGGATCGATGCCGATGTCGGTGATGATCGGTAAAAGGAGCTATAACTTAAGGTCAATTTTTCACGGACTGTTGAAGGGGTGTGATGGGCCAGAAGTTGCTGGTGCAAGAGGCGCCTGGCTCTGGTTCCGGTTCGACGAATCGCATGGAAGGCGGCGAAGGTGCCGGAGGAGGGGAGCTACACCACTTCCTCCAGTACAACCAGCAATCTCACAGTCCTAGCCAGAGCCTGCAGGGTGGCCTTCCGCTTCCGCTAAGCCCACAACCCCTGCGACACGACGGTGCTTCGAGCGCCGGCATCGTCGGGGTCAAGAGGGAACCAGAAGATCTGAGCTCGTCACGCGGAGGCCAACAACCCAGCAAACGACACAAACAGGCGCAACCCGACAGTCCCACACCACCGGGAATGTACCATCATCATCCGCATCAGTTGCAGGTAAATTTCAGACGATCATTGCCAAGTGCAATCACGAGTTCTCCCCCGTGTCGCGATTATTTACGTTTATAAGTCTTCGATTTACTCCGACCTTTCAAAAGTTCGACGCTTTTTATACAATATGTGTTATGTTTAAATATTAATTTAATGATTCATTTCTACAAGAATTCTCAATTCTTCGCGTTACAAAGTTATTCCCATAATCACATGCGGTGAGAATTGAATTTGTAATCAATTCTCAAATAACTGCAAACGTTATGTGCTTATTTATTTGGCGTAAAATTTCTAAAGATTGCTAAAGATTTGCAAGTTCTATACGATCCTCGCCGAAACGTCATGTCACGTATAGCCTAATGCAACATTTGCACATCGCAAGATAATATTTGAGAAAATAACATCGCTCAAATTCTTCTAACGTCGCTTCCCGCGCATCTCGAAAATTGCACAATTGCATATCTCGCGAGTTCCACATCATCGCGCGGTCTTTTTTTCTCCATAAAAAGATGTGTGAATGCGGCGGTGGAAACGCGGGAAATCGCGATCTCCTCGAGGTGCGCCAATCGCGGCGAATCGTGCGAACGTGGAGGAAAATCAATCGCAATTGATGATGGGTGTACAGGTGCAGCAGTACGGCAGTCCTTACGACCCCTACACGTCGTGCAGTCCGAGGTTGCAGTCGACTGCCTATACGTCTACGTCAGCGACCGGGACGGGAAATGCAACGGCGAATCCGGGTGGCGGCCTCCATCAGGAGGCGACGACGGTCTACGTCGCTGGTGACGCATTGCCGCCACTTGCGTCGTCGAGCTCCACTTCCTCGCTGTCCACCACGACTGCTTCGTACACGAGGTACGAGGTTGTGCCGAGCTCATACGCTACGACACACGCGATACGCTCGTCGTCGAGTAGCAGCAAAGTCCTGACCGTTGATCTCCCCAGCCCCGATTCTGGCATAGGCGCCGACGCAGTGACGCCCAGACAGGATCATCATCCAACCACGGCCCTTCATCAGGTAAGCACGATTTCATTCCTTTTATCGTTTGATGAATTCCTAACCCGCGTGGTGCATCCAGCTTTAACTTTTAGAGGGTCTATTTTTAAAGTCTTACAGCTTTTCTTTGGGTAAAATTTTTTTATAATTTGTTATCTCATTGTATTGCTTCAAAATATTGATAATGTTTCAACAGTACTATAATGGCTTTCTCGTTCTATAGAGATTAAAAGTGAGATTCTCTTGTACGTCGTTAGCGTGTGTTTTCGAGCACAAGTAGGCGTGGATGCGTTTACGAGTTATATGTCGTTAACGATCGAATCGAATAAAGATCTCTCGTTTTTTCTGATACGATAAAGTCACTAAAGGTCGGATGCTAGTATAAGTCCAAGGTGAAAATTACCATGATTAAACGGACAAACGAGTATGAGTTGGACAAGAAATTCCACAGAAGAAATTTGCTGACATCTCATAATATAAGCAGCTAACGTAAAGCTCGGAACACTGAACGTAGAGAGCTAAAAAGCTTCCAAAATGGAATAAAACGATTCCCTCGCGTGTAACATATTGCTCTGCCACGTAATATTAACACTGCCCAGGCGTAAGATGATGACACTGGAGTTAGCCGACAGGGACGATCGTAAATGGCTCGCGTCTATATAAATTGCAATCAGCAGGCGACGTAACCAAGAGCAAGCCATGATCGGAGCGGGATCCTGCGGCTGTCTCGTCAGCGGGGATCGAAGTTAACGGATTGCAGGGGGGATACATGAAGAAATATTTACTACTCGGAGGTGCTCGCTACTGAATTACGCGGATAGCGTGCCGGCAGCGTCATTAATTGCCCGGGAAAAATGCTCCGGAGCGTTTGGCCGAGACAGAATCGCTGTGCCCCGAGACGCGGAATGATCGTAACTCAATCGAGAGCTGCCGTATAGAGGCAGCGATGGGAAACGATGGCATCATCTGCAGCCGCTCCCGCGCGCTATCGTTTTCAATTCGATCAACCACGGTACAAATGACTTCGCCCACGGCGCCATAAGCGATCGCGATGCAATTAATCTCACGGCGCGATATCGTAAATATCGTTCGTTAACGCTCGGCCGGCTCTTCCCGGCTTCAAAAGACACCTTCGGTACATTAATATATGCGGGTATCAACCGTTATCCTATTGCGAGCATATTCGCACGCGGATATCGCGGATATGCGTGTCGGTATTGCTGCGTTATGCTATCGTTTTCAATGCGATTTGTCAAGTAAGTGCTTTCGCCCACGACGATGCCTCACCCGCGAGAGAGAGAGCCGGACTCTCTCACGCGATTAATTCCCCGTGTCTCTTGCAATGCACGCCGGGCACGGTATTACGCGTAAAGCGTTCTAAATACTGACAGATCGAATGCGTATGCACGATCGCCGCTCTCGAAGCAATTTGTCAAGCAAGTTTTTCCGTCTTAACGTCGCGTACAGTTAACTTACTACGACGCAATAAATTTGGAGACGCTAATTCTATACGCTAATATTATATCGCGTGTAATACACTAAAGGAGCAATTATAGTATCTTAGATTACGGTAAATCGCAAAACTCAGCCGTATCGAAAAAGCGAACCTGTTCCTCCGGTTCTTAAAACTTAATATCTGCTAAAGATTTTTCGTAATAGACATGTTTTGCTAAAGCGACCCTCTTATCAGCCCCTCATTTAAAGATCAATAAATAACACCGTAATAGTCGCAAAGTCCATTACGGTAAGATGTGTACTTAATATTAGAACTTTATTACATAATCGGACGGCCCGACACACACACACACACACACACACACACATCCACAAATTTCTTAAGGAAATAACATTAATTTCAATAAAACTGTAATCGTATCGTGTTTTCATGAAAAAAAGACTTTGGAAGTCTTTCTGAATTTATCAATTTTATGTTAGGCGTATCTGATTCTTTCTATACGAATCTCGTTCAATTAAACGGTAATATAGTCGCTCGTATCATTTCGTTTAGTTCTTGATCGGCAGTTCTTGACACAGGCAATTCGTCATTCTCATGTACTGTTGCATATCTCGTCCACTTCCGGAAGCATTAATCGTGTCGCGCGCGTTACACGCGAGAGTAAGTCATTAGCATTGCAGTCGACATTACGAATTAGAAAGCACGCGTTCGTTCTGCTCCGCTTGTGCGCACGGCAGACGTTGAAATAAAACCCGAAGCCCCGGGTCGGGCGGATTAGGTATCGGATGTAAGTGCTACTGAAAACCGATCCGCTCGCCTGATCGGCACGCTTGTGTTATGCACGCAATTAAAACGTTGATATTCAAAGTGGGTAACACATTAAATTTTCCCGTCCGCGCGCGCTCGTTTTATCTCGCGATTAATACGCCTTCCACCGACAATTTTCTTAATATTTGAGAAGCGGTGCCGCTCTGAATCGCACCGAGATAACGTAACACGGCCAATTATGACCACACGACGCAAATGATATGTCTATCTAATGAATTCGATGTCATGCCAGCAAAAAAGGATCTCGTTTAATTAATCGTAAATTTCCGATACACGTAGAGTGACGTCTTGTTTTAGTACGGGTCTAATATCATGCAAATTACATGTATTATATTTTAACCGGACCCGCGGATTTTTAGCTGGTTGTTACTTGGCTTATAAGATTAAGCCTGTTTAAGATATTAAATATTTATGCGCGTTTTCTCATCCGGGGCAGTCTTCGCATTTGCGTCAGTAATACACTGCGACTTAGACTTTGCATGAAACGTTGATTCAATTACTGCCTTTGACGTCTCAATTAGAACAGTACACCTCGACGATGAAATACGATAAGTAGATAAATCATCGGTAAATTGCGCATGTCGCGCATGAAATTTGCTTAATCACGCAATATGATAAAAATGGCGATCTATTAAATCCTTATATGTAGGTGTATTATAATAAATAAATTTATTTATCACAGAAAAAAAGATTTTATTGAAAGATCTAAAAATTTGCTGAATACAGAAAATAATTTTGTTAGATCATCAAAATAATTATGTTGAAAATTAAAAAATGAAGAGCAATGATACTGCAAAAAATTTTGATATTTCAACAACCAGTTTGAGTTTCTAACAAAACTATTTTAGTAGTCCAATAAAATTATTTCTGGATGTATCCAGAAAAATTTTAGATCTGTCAGTAAAATCGTTCTTTTCATGAAAAATTCAAATTTTTCTCGCATAATAAAAAATCTAAGGATTTCGATATGTTGTATTTTAAGTGTTAATCACGAAAATACGTTGAAAATATGTTGAATGTTAATTGAAAAATATATGACATGCGATTAAATTTTTGTTAACGAAACGTCGCGTCTCAAAACTGTTGTTGAAAGAAAATATGCGACTTTCATGCTTATTGCATCTCATACATTTAATGCATAAAGCATTTGAAAAATTCTGGAACGACGAATAGCTTTGTGCCGATGTGCGGTGGATTCAGTGGTTAGAGAATTTAGCAAGAAAGAAGCTGCCGTGATTTTTTTTCGGGATGACAGAGAGTTGAGGTAACGAGCTGCGGTAACCGCGTTGCATTGAAAAATAACTGCAGGCGACGCGCAATCGCATGAAGATGTATGAGGGAATAGGTCGTTTGGCAAGCCGCTTATTAACAGCTACGGTTGGAAGCGGGTGTGCGGATTGTGCGGTTGATTTTACGAGACCACAAAGCTCCTCTATTCTTTCTTCGTTCGCGCTGCCTTCGGCAGCAGTATACGCGTAGTGCGCAACGGAGTGCACGATCGAAAATGCATGAAAAAGAGCATATTAATGATAAATGGAAAAAAACCACTGTTCTTTCACTGCAATCCATTTGCGATATTTATATATCGAAATTTGCGATATTTATATATCGAAATTTTTTACAGTGTTATGTGTACCATAATCAACGAGAAAAAAAAGAGACACGAGACGGACGCATCGGGATAGTCACGTGAAATCGCGTGTTTGTGAGCTGTTAATCATTTATCGGTCCAGTGATCCCTTTAATCGGCGTAGTTTGAAATTTATCGAGGGATACTTGTGAGATACAGAAAAATCTAATGAAATGCATTGATATGCAAAATAAGACGCGAACGTGTGCAGATATTGAATCGCGATAATACTGCTATACGAAACGAATGACGTCGATAAATAATTAAGTTCTTATAAGATTTTTAAATACTAATTACACCGTAATCAGGGAGTATTTAAATTAAATGAGATTTAGTATACTCGTGCATGCGAACGCGTTTTATCTATGCTACGAGAACATGATCGGAAAAAATTGCAACTATCATTATTTTTACACGCTGTATCTCTTCTACATATATTAATGTTACGATACTATCATTATATTCGATTTGTTTTTTTTTCTTTCAAAAGAAATTAAAAATAAATTATTAGTTTTTGTCACGAGAAAGACGATAAAGCATCCGTTATCTCATTTATTATTTAAAATAATTTAAATCATTACTTCAATATAATTATATATTTTTCAATATTTTTATATATATAATTTACGGCAGATTTTCAAATTAAACAAGATTAAAAAAGAATTTAAAAATTCAGAATGCTTAAATGGAAGTTAAAATAATTTAAATTTATTAACTGGATTTCTGTATGTTTTATATATTATCCAATATGGTTCTTATTTTTTGTAAATTTTTCATAAATTTTTAATAAATTACATTTTTTTTCTAGTCGTCATTCGACTACACAGAATTATGCCCTGGCGGAACAACAGCCGGAGCAGCGGTAGTTCTCGAAAGTGGAGCGGTGATACACCAACCCCTGCAATTACAGCTGCAGCAGAACCACGCACAAGCGCAGGTGCAACGCAGCAACTTAGTGTCCACTGGTGCGACAAATCCGAATCCAAATCCAAATCCGCAGAGATCGCGGCCTTGGCACGATTTCGGCAGACAGAACGACGCCGATAAGATCCAGATACCGAAAATGTAAGTAGGCTCTGAAAACTACAGTTATCAAAAAATCGATGATCGAAATATGTATGTAATTCTTGAAGTGCTCTTTTCTAGCAATCCAAAAATATTTAATACGATATTTAATACAAGCGTTGATCTCTTTGGAATATATGAGAAGCTTAAGAAGCATCTTATTTTAATAGCTTCGTTTTGATTAAAAGTAGATATGCTTTTAGATTAAGAGCAAAGAAAACTTAATAGAATTACTTCTTGACATGATTTGTCCGATTAGGGATTGCACGGTAGTACAGGAATTATAATAAATATGCGTTATAATAATGATGTGCAAAGGCGAATGCTCAATTTGCTCGATCGAACAGTTAGATAAATAAGTAAACGGATATTGAGATTGATATATAGATATTTATCTATCAATTTATCTTATCACATGGAAGGTATGGAAGAGCAACGATAAAAGTTAATAACTTGTGCCACTCAGGACAAGCAATTGCGAATCCATACGGAAAGATTTTATTAAAGTATCTAAAAGTTTAGGTAGATATAGATACTGCAAATAATTGTATTTGGCCATCAAAATAATTATAACGTAGGAAACTCAAGTATGATGAGCAATACTATAAAAAGTTTTGACATTCTAGTAACCAGTTAAGCGTCTTACATAATTTTCAGATCTATATCTAGCTAAACTTGTAAACATTTCAGCAAAACCGTTCTTTCCATGCACGTAACAAAGAAAGTACTTCGTGATTGCAGATGAACGAACATTTCATTCTTAGCTCGTTCAGTCTTTATTCGCGAAATTTATATTCGTACTTCGTTTTATGAACACAAATGTTTGTAAGAAAATTATTAATAGTCCTAAGAATCAATTAATTCATACAAATGAAATATTATTATACGAGCAATTAATAATTTAATTAATATAACTTCTTATCGCGCATAATCGGTTCAACTAATGACAAAGATGGAGTTTAAAATACTTGCATAGTTGTGTAATATTTTCGCTTATACGTTGAGGCGTAATTTAACATGCTTTATTTCTTCTATAACTGAGAACTAATGGCGCCTCTAAAAACCGAGTCATAAATGTCATTTCTGTTTCACGAGAAACTAATATCTTCACTAACTGCCCGCTAGAAGAACTTTCCTGCGCCTCATACTCTGCGTACCCTTCATTTCCTTCGCGGTTCATCATATCCGCTTGCCAACTCATTTGATCTTCTTCTCCCATATCCATCCTTCCTAGCGATCTTTCTACTTCCCGTTTCGCTCCATCCGTCTTTTGTAATTTGTTGTCTTCCATTGTTAGAGCCGACCGCGTACGATCAGCGCTGCTGAATATTTCTTGCTCCATCTCTCTGAATACTCACCGGCGCGAGATGAACAATGATGTTAAAGTTATTAAGTCGCAGCCAGCTCCGAAGTCGACTCTGTTCGGGGTCGCGCCCGATCCGGGTCTGAAAAATCGCAGAGTTCGCCGACCACTCGCAGCGTGAAATCGAAATGTCAAGAGGGGTAGCCTCTCTCTTTTCGACCGGGTTCTTTTTCGCGTACAGAAGCGATAAAGTCAGACGGGCAGATGAGAAAGAGAGAGAGACTCGGTAGTCATGCGTAACCCACACAGGGAGTTGTAACAAGGTATACACATCGGGTAGGCGGCTGTGCAACGGTAGCGAGCAGCAAAGGCGCAGAGGAGGGCGTTCACCCGCCACGGTCAGTTATCGCCTCGCTCGCTACGCACGCTGCCCCCTGGTTCGTCCCCTCGGTTCCACAATGAAAAAAGAAAGAGAGAAGAACAGAGAGACAAAAGGAAAAAAAAGAGGATAAGAGGACCGCGCCACGAATACGAAAGCGTGTGTGCGCTTCGAAGACAATAAGGCTCTCTCTCTCTCTCTCTCTCTCTCTCTCTCTCTCGCGAGAATACGATAATAAATATATTCGTAAAGTTCGCCGAGGTAGCGATGGAGACCGGTATCGATAAATCGAGTTCGAGACGAGAAGTGGCAGCTTAACGATTACAGATTTTCCTCGATCGCGGCGGTCGATCGTTTTGCTCTCGTTTTTTCCATCTCGCGTCCACCTTCCTTCAACCATGCGCGTCGTTTTGTCGTCTCGTGTTTTATATATATATATATATATATATCACGGTCTCTCCCCTCAATCTCTCGAGTTATGGGCGTTCATTTTTCATAAGTTATCGGTCGCCCGCCTACCTGCGTGTCTTAGTCGCGGTCGGCGCGGAGATAAGCTCGATTAGAAGTCGCGATTTTCTCTTCCCCCCCTCCCTCCCCCTGGCAAGGTTGATGCGTGTCTGTCGACATCGTTCTTTTTTCAATTCGCGCGAACTCTGCGTTGCCAGCTTCCCAGGCTCCGAGGCCCTTCATTATCGTTTTGCCGCTATTAACGATTGGAATATTCATACTCGATTGCGGCCGCTTTTTTTTTCCGCGCGATGACGAACGTTCTAATTAGCAAAGATTTTGCGCGGTCTTGTTTGCCTCGCGCACGCATCGGTTGTTTTCCACGCGAAACGGCTTTAGGTATGTTTGTCTTGATGGCGAAGTAGGAATATGTTGGCGGAGAATTAGCCGATAATGACACGATAATCACTCATATTGCATCGCGCATTAATCAGCTAATTGAGCATTCGTTTGCAAGCTCGTAACCGTCTATTAAGTAAACGCGATTCAATCTTGACCGAGTGTGAAACAGCCAGCTGCATAATGACACATACACACACACCACGGAGATTGCTTCTTAAACGTGTGCTTTTTTTTTTTACGCGCGCACATATGTCGGAGCTGCGTATCCACGCTTCATTTGGGAAATCTTATTTGTCTGCTCTTTAGTTTCTCGAACTACGGATTCAAGTACCACTTGGAGTCACCGATCAGTACGTCGCAACGCCGCGAGGACGATAGAATAACGTATATCAACAAGGGCCAATTCTACGGAATCACGTTGGAATATGTGTCCGATCCGGACAAGCCGCTCCTCAAGGCAGGGCAGACAGTCAAGGTAAGAGCAAAAAGGATAATTGCACTGTTTGAATAACGACATTTGTATGATGATATATGTAGGTAGATATATAGTTTCGAAGATAGAGATGAATACACTGTTGAATTCACAAATTATACTCGATTTGAATTATTTTTAATCATTTTTACACTGAGATAAAAATGTGCTAAATGTTAATAAATATTTATTTAAATATTATCGATTAAACATTTACTTACAGTAAATAAATAAATTTAATTTACTTAATAAAAAAGTGATAATTAAATTAAATTAATAATTCTTGTATCAAATAAATATATCTTTACATTTGGTAAATATTTAGTCGGTATTATTTAAATAAATATTTATGGTTTATTAAAATTTAGTACATTTTTTCAGTGTATAGGTCGCCACTGCGGCTACTCAATATGTCGTTAATTTAACTAAAATAATGGAGTTAAACAATTTACTTAAGAAAATAGCAGTCCAACTCAAGAAAATATATTAAATTTAATTCAAATTTAGTTTATTATTTACTAATTGTAAGTGCATACGTTAATATGGACGTTGTTTACTTTAAAACTAATCACGGAAATGAATTGATTTACATTTTGACACACAAGGTTAAAACTAATAAAATGTTACTGTTTAACTCAAGGGGTTGGGTCATCATTGCTCCTTTAATATCTAATAGTGTAGCTGTTAATCAATGTCTAACTGTAACAATAAGCATTTGCACGGTATCGTTCCGTTCGCGTGACTGGAGAGGTAAAATTCGCGGAGACGATCGGCGTGCGAGCGGCGTGTCGAAAGAAGAAGTCAGACGGGATCGTTTGTTCTCGCGACTCTAATTGGCAGCCGCGGTGCGCACGCACCGTTAGCAATTTCCATTCTGATAAAGGTGGCGGATTCTTTTTCCGTCGTGTGCGCCGCGACGAGTTACGGCTTCCTCGTTAATTGCTAATCGAGCGTCGAGAGCGAGGCGTGTGGCGATTCGAACGGTATATCCGCGTCTCTCGCGGCGCGAGCCTCAAGGGAGATCGGTTAAGTAAGTGTAACCGCGTAACGCGAACCTCTTATTCACGGGCCTCTCTTTCCTTTCCGATCGTGCGCGCCCATATTTCCTCCGGTACGTCGGAGAGCGCGGTTCTTCGCCCATTCACCCGAATCACGAAAAATCCTTCCTCCGTCTCGGCGCTCTCTCGCCGAGTCGCCGCTCGCGGCGAAAACGTTCACGCCCGCGTGTACCCGGTCGAGCATGCGTCTGTCGCGATCGATGTACGTCTCCGCGTGTATCGCCGATCCGGGTGAAACCCGAAAGTTAACTTTGTGTAGACACAAGATATTTATTTATACTACTTCGCACATGCCAGGTTGATTATAAAATACGAGAAATCTCAAGCGATAATTATAAAATACATAAGGATCTTGAAACACATCGTGAAAAATATTTTACATGCGCGCATGTAAAATGTCTCTCACGATGTGTTTCCCTTGTCTTATCTTGTCGCTAGGAATAATGAATAGATAAACGATGACTCTCGATTTGTGCTCAATCTGTCATGTGATTAATAATTATTTACATGTGCTGCATAGAGCGTAGTAATGTTGATGTTCCGAGAGGAGAAGAGTCCGGAGGACGAAATCAAATCCTGGCAGTTTTGGCACGGGAGGCAACATTCTGTCAAACAACGGATTCTTGACGCTGGTACTTGAAATTTAAATAAAATAATATAAATATAAGTATTTAGTCTAGAAATAAATAAATAAGTAGAAATTATGTAAAATAGATAACAGTGATAGTTTTTCTTCATAAATTAATAAATCTTAATAAATACTCGATCGATTAAATCTCTAATTATAAATCTCTTGTACTTTGCGCAAGCCTACCTAATCTATAACGGACAAGCGGTAAGATTTTATCGCGGACGTATGCCCCGTTATTTTAATATTCTATCTAAAAGTCCCGAGAGTAGCACTAGCTATTTCATATTCCCCTGCATGATCCGCGAGTTTCAGAGTCACGTCCGTTGTTACAGACACAAAGAATAGCGTTGGCTTGGTGGGCTGCATAGAGGAAGTCGCGCACAATGCGATTGCCGTTTACTGGAACCCACTCGAATCGTCGGCAAAGGTAAGGAACGCCGGAAATGTCGATTCACGTTACCTTCTTAACGACATGTACATGCCTCTCCGCCCCTCTTTCCCGTATATATACAATATATATACATATATATATATATCTCGTTTATCGCCGTGCAATCTTGCGCTACGCGCAAATATCGTGTCGCTCGCGCATTCGATTGCATGGCCATTTAGCGGAAACGTTAATAAAGCAATTCCCGTGTCGCCGCCGCTGCCGCCGTTGCTACCTGTCCGATTTCTGATCCACAGATAAACGTGGCGGTGCAATGTCTCAGTACCGATTTCTCGAGTCAGAAAGGCGTGAAGGGTTTGCCACTGCATATCCAGGTCGACACGTACGAGGAACCACCGCCCCACACGCACACGTATACACCGCCTTCCCATCGTGGCTACTGTCAAATTAAGGTCTTTTGCGATAAGGTAACTGCTCTTCTGCATTTCCATACGTTTATCTCCCCCTCTTTTCTCTCTTCATTTGCGATGTAAATAACGCGTGATCGCTTCCTGGTCGCAATGTGATCGCTGAAATTAAGTTGAGAGATGATGTTGCTTATCGTAGGGAGCTGAGAGAAAGACCCGGGATGAAGAGAGACGCGCGGCTAAGAGGAAGATGACAGCGACTGGCAGAAAAAAGCTCGATGAGCTTTATCACCCTGTTACGGAGCGCAGTGAGTTTTACTCCATGGTCGATCTGCACAAACCGCCTGTGCTGTTCTCTCCACCGGCCGAACACGCCATCGATAAGGTAATCACATCGTTTTCTTATATGTTACGAACAAGTAGTAGTATCGATCAATAAGAATTTGCTGTGTTCTCACAAAAACATTGATTGCGAACATATTTAATTGCAATATTAATCCTCCATCGGCAATGTGAAATTTTCTTCGCATTGGCAACCTGGGTCTTTGAACTTCAGTACAAATTTTTATATCGTTTCGAGTTGTATAAAAATACGTGACAAAATTCCTATACATATATTTGTAAAAATTTTAACAAGTTTTTATCATAATAGAAGTCGGATTTAATTTTATTTGTATTTTACAGATTTAAATTTGTCTACTAAAATCACAACTAAAAAATCGAATATATCTTTAAAATCCAACATTGTCGGAGAGTTAATAATTCTATAAAAGAGATTGTCTCTCTTTACAAAAATATAATGAATTATAGATAAGGAAAACTTTTTTAATACGCTACATTAATATGCATAAAACTTGATATGAGACATCTACATTATTAATTTGTCTTTGATCAAATATGAGTGTGTTACGTCATCGTAGCATGTATCTAAATTAATTAATTGATTTAAAAACGAACTTAGAAAAATCGTATGGCATTCACAATCCTCTGCTCTCACCCCCGCCGAAACCCTGCACTATCCGCAACTCTTGCATCGTAAAGTAGTAACGTGGACTTTCTCGAGACAGCCTTTTGAATGTTATATCAATTCAGTTTAACGAACCGGAGTAGCAGCCTTTCACAGTATTTACTTTTATGTTTTTAGTTTTATTGCAATGAATATGTGAGTTGTCGTAATTAGTTATTACATTATGACTAACAGCATTATTATATGTAGCATTATTTTTTATTATCAAAACAGAGGAGTTGTTATATTTATATCTATTTTGCCGCCATTGACTTTCAAATTGTTCGCAAGTCGTCAATCTCTTTAACATTACATTAAGAAAAGAAATTAACGTCGCTTTAAAGTTACTCCTCGTTTTTTAATGTGAAATTTGAACGGGTCGTCTTGTGAAGAAAAGAAAAAGACGCAGAGTAAAAAATAAACCTTGTTCTTCTTCCACGACAGTTCTCGACGATGGAGTTGTCGGGCTTCTACGGTGGTGGCGGCGGCGGGGGAGGGGGTGACACCGACACCTCGTCCCTCAGTAACGGTGAAGGTGGAGGATTGAAGGCGGGGGGTAGCAGCCCCTATCCACCGCCATGCGCCCGGCCGAGTCTGCCGGCCCTCAAGTTCCACAACCATTTTCCGCCCGACAATCTCAGTAGCCTGCACGACAAGAAGGACTCGTTGCTGATGCAGGTGCAGGAGCTGCAGGGTTCGGTGCTGCAGGGGGTGCAACAGACCGGCCTGGCGGGCGCGGTGGTGTCCAATGTCGGTAATCGGCTGCACCTACAACAGCAGCCGCCGCATCTACGCCCAACGGACGCCGAGGAACGCGTCATGCTCTACGTGCGTCAGGAATCGGAAGATGTCTACACACCACTGCACGTCACACCACCGACGGTCCAGGGGCTACTCAACGCTGTAAGAAATATCCTAAGGCTCTTTTCTTTTATATCGCCTACACACATCGACATCTCACAACAAACATTCCCACGCAAACATTCGCGTAGAGAGGGATCTCAGAGACCTTTGCAGATCTGTGACGATTCGCACGATCCGCATGTATCTGCACCGTTCTCAGAGATACTTTCCAACGAAATATAGCGGAAGTTATAGAGCTGGTACATTAAGGCATCCGTTCTGCGTCGTGAACTATTAACGTCCGCAGTGTAGAGAAAATTATTGATCTTTACTATGAACCGTACACGAGCGTAACGTCAATTTTAGAGCAGGGGATAAATGTCAGTAATACAAAGTGAATATGCATAATCGAGGGGAGATATTGCAAATTTTGTATTAACTGAATGTTGATACTTGTCATTCGGTAGTAAAGTAGGCAAAATAACAAGCCCACTCGTAGAAATGGGAACGGGAAATGGAAATTCTCACCATTTTCATACCGCAACTGATAAACATACGGTAGCAGTGATGTGTTTTATGCAAAACACATTGCGCACCGTCGAATATACGCGACCGTGGGTGTTAATTCGTGATTACGCTGTCGTTCGTCGGTGAGGCCTGCTCTGGAAACAGAACGAGAAGCGAGACAATAATAATGCAACGTGCTATCGCTACCATCGATCGAGATACGCTTACCCGATAAACAACTTCCAGGCTTAATAAAGTCGCACGGCCGGAAAATAACTAATGCCTATTTCGATCGATACCAGAGTTTAGTTTCGCTTATCCAATACGCGTATATGATTTGATGAGCGCGGAAATTGTACACGCATACATACATATATATATATGTGCACATATATTTTACGTGCACATATACAAGCTCCACGAGAGAGTATGTATTACTCATGCATGTGAAAGCATATACTGCGCCATTATTAATACTCGTTCGCACTGGTCCACTCGCTAATTAATATTAATGCGCATGCATCACTGTCCACTGTGTCCAAGATCCTCATTAATACATTATCGATAATGCAAGACATACGATCATATTTATCCCTCCTCCTCCGCGGATGTGCGAGACTGTCGGCGGCTTTTTAACGATCACAAGATATGGACGTAAGAGACGCGTTATACCGATCAAAAGTAACGGAAGAAAAAAGTGGAAGGAAAAACATTCTTTCTTTCTCTCAAACGATTTCTCTTCTCTCGTCACGTTTCTACACGACCCACGAAAGAATGATCTAATTGATCCACGCGTGATCTCCTATCTTGGACCGCGCTCTAACCGATCCTGAACTGCCTCCGCGTTCTTGTGAGACGCGCGATATATATCTCTTCATCATTATGTCTTCCCGTTTCGATCTGTCTTGTCTACTCTTATCTCGCTCTATCCTTCTGTCTTTCTCTCTTGCTGTCATTCTCGCGGTAATGTTGCGTCTACCTACGCGCGTCTCGCGACCACTTTCTCGAGTGCGTGCGCGAAACGAAACGACGGTCCGCAAGCCACTATCGAAATTCTAATGTTCTACTTTTTTCTATTTTGCAGATTGAGTCAAAGTACAAAATTGCATCCTCGAGTATTAATAACCTCTATCGCAAAAACACAAAGGGGTAAGTTTAGTAGAGTGTCATCTTTACTTGCATGCACGCCTACGCGATGCATGCCATAACGGTGACATTGCCTGACTCTCTCCGCCTGGTTTGGTAGTCTTTTTCTCTCTTTAATTTCTCTATCTCACTCTCTCTCTCTCTCTCTTCTCTCTTTCTCTTTCTCTTTCTCTTTCGCTCTCCCTCTCGCCTATGATCGTGCCTCTTTCAAATGTCGGATACACGTTTCTCTGCGACATATGTATTTAAATGTATACGCCATTCTCGTGTACTATCTCGTTAAAAATGTCCTCTCTTTGTCGATCACCTTAACGCGAATGTAGTTGCACGCTGACTGCATCTCGCTACCGCTACGCACAATCACGCCTGATTAATCCACTAATCCTTCACGCTTCTCGTCTTCTGCCTTCCGTCACAAACGCACTCATGCACGCCTTGCCTGCCTCGCCTAATGTCGTCATGCGTCTCGTTCAACTGATTATTTATTCTGCCGGTATTTTTTCCAACATATATGTATATGTTGGTTACGCACTGCGTATTTCTGCAGGAACCTTTCCTTCGAACAGATATTCTTCGTTACTCGACATGTACATCTCACGTCATTCAAGCAAATCCTATCTTACGCTCTCTCTTTCTTTCTCTCAAGCTACGTATAATGCGGTGCGAACTCCACTTTTTTCATTTTGAGGAGATCTTGAAGATCCATCGCAAAACAGTATAGACATTTTGCTGTTATGATACTGTGATAATTCGATAACGATGCCATAACTCGTGAACTGTATGCAATAATTTCATTTTAATATCGTGAAATTATATTAAAGGAAAAAAATTATTATAAAAATATTAAATGTTATAGGCTACGTTCAACAAAAAAAGAAAACTAATCAGCGCTTAGTTATTCTTTAATATGATTGGTTCTTGCCTTTAGGTCTTGGTTGGATCTAAATGTAGGAAACAATCATATTAAAGAATTACTAAGCGCTAACTGATTAGTTTTCTCTGCTGAACGCAGCCATAGAAAGATTCATTGCAATACGAGAGCTTTTCTTATAAAACTTATTGTTGCAAAAAATTTTAAGCCATAAAATTTTAACATTTATTGATATCAAGAGATTTTGTTAATCATGTGCAATGAAAATTGTATGAAACACAATTCGTTCATCAAGTGTCACAATATTGTAGTGGCCAAAGTTACCGCGTTTGCATGCCAACTCGAACGATCACGTTCTCCGGAACGAGATTCGCTGCTTTCATTCGCGAGTTGAACCGAGAAGATTTAACGAGAATTTCATCGTACCCTGTTGCAGAATTACAGCGAAAATTGACGATGACATGATTCGATATTACGTCGACGAGGACCTGTTTCTGCTGGAGGTGAGCCACTCGCGGATCAATCCGGACAGCGAACGCAATCCGAACAATCCGGGTTCGCCGGGTGATCCTGGCGATCCGAGTGATTCTCCCGCCGGATATGACGTCACTCTCATCGAACTACCTTCATCGCCTCCACATCTACCACACTCACCCCTCACCAATTCCACACATGCACATGTGCATATTCACGACAACAGTAACACGTGAACCTGAACGAACCAGAAACGTGTAAATACGCCACGCAAGCTCGACGAGAACTGATCATTTGGATGAATGAAGGATCAGCAACCTCTTGCGTTGAATAATAACAATTACTAAATGAGTAGCGAATTTTTTCGCACCACGTTGAAGATTCTTGTACAGTTTACTCGATGATGTGCCTACCAAAAATGATCATCGAGAAAGATCCAAGTAGCAACGTGTTAATTATTTTCCAGCAAGAACAATCAAGAAGAGAATCAAGAGAGGATACATTTCTGAAGATCACTGAATTTTCAACGTGATAGTTCAAAGAAGAATCGATGCCACGTTATTTTAATCGTAATGTAACAGAGATTTAATTGCACATTTCGGGCAGATTTCGTTGTCGATGTTTTAGGGCTATAAAAAATTTAAATAGTAAAACATAAGCAGTAAAGGAAATTAACATGTTTGCTTACGTTTCACTGTTTAAGTTTTTATGTGCCATGGTCCTTATTACTGTTCTCCTCTTGCCCCTCGTATTTAAACAATGAGTTAATGGATACTTAATGAAGACGTCGACAACGAAATAAGCCGAAAATGTGCAACTAAATCTCAGCTTTGTAGTATAATATCACAGTCGAAGCCTATATTTGAACAGACACATTTTGAACAATTATCGATACAATAATTATTAGCGAAACGTTTACCAAAAAACTAATAAGCATGCGCTAAGAAATATTTTTAGGACCCTTTTACATCCAGTAGAAAATATATATTTTAAAACGTTTAAAAATATATCTCTGGTAAATATTCAGTCATTAACTTCAAATGGAGCTCATATTAAAGAACATTGCTTAAGCTTTAATAAAAAATATTATAATTAATATTTTATTATATACTTCTGCATAAGGATTACATATATATATATATATAATTTGACAAGATAAAACGTTATGTAAATATAAATGAAATAAGAACTCTGGAAATTTATTTTCGAAACGAGTTATTTATATACGTTATTTTATATTCCTTCATTCATAATTTTCAATTCTTTAATCAATTTTTTATAAAAGCCGAAGGATGAGAATCGCGATTGAACTTAAAATATAAAAATATGGAAAGTTATTTGTGTGATCTGGAAGTTTTCGGACTAATTAGGTAGCGTTACCTTTCATAAGGATTATGAACTGAAATATCAAATAATACGTAGACTCCGATGATACTAATTTTTCTGGTAATATTTATATTATGTGTATATAAGGAGTAACATTAGAACATTTAAAAATTTTTTGTATTGCAATGATAGAGATATATAATATGGTGCTATTGGTTGTAACTTGTACGTTATAGATTAGACCGAAAACTTTTGGACTTTATTCTTATCAATATATTTTGTTATTTCTTATTTTATTTTATGAACTGAATCCACATTTCGCGGTCACGAAAACGACAATACAAATATTGTCAGTACAAATTTTTATTAAATTTGAATATATTTTATCTTTTACGTTTACGTTTGTTATTGAATCCGCTATTTTAAACTGTTACATTATTATACCTTTATTATATTTAACAACATCAACAAAAGTGGCTAAACTATAAAAATGACTAAATTAGACCTTCTCCTCTAAAAGAAAATCAGATGTAAAAGGGTTAATTAAATCTTTTTCGCTCACAGATGTATGGGCTTCGACTCGACTGGAGGAAAATTGAATGTGCAAGAATGTCGTACGTCGCGGGTACGAAAAGCGTACGTTATTACTTTGTTTTGCATTCCATGAACATTTTATATTGACGGTTGTTAGTTTAGAATGCCGAAGCGTCACGTTGAAAACGCGAACGCCATGTAAATCAATCAAAATTGATTTAAGGATCCCGGTATATGATAAGCATACGTATATTGTAGATGCATATGAAACCACTCGTCTCTGTTAATTTCTATTTTAATTCGCACGCTGACGTTTAGATTCCAAATTTGCCCACCCATTTAAGAAATGCATCGCATTGCGTTGGTTTTAACGTGAATTATTATTTTCGAAAGCCGATGAATTCGTATAAATCGTAACGCACGTGCCGTTATTTCTCATTAAATAAATGATTTCGAATGTTTGTGTTAGTCAATGTCAGAAGCGATTGCTTCTTTCTCTTCGCATTTCGATTTCGGTTATATCGATAATCGGAAATGGACACGCAATTTAAAACGCTATATTTATTACAAAATTAGAAAATTTATGTTAAATTTAATATATATCATATATCAATAAGCACACAATGAAATGTACTGTCAATAGGATATTGCTCTCTTTCGTATCGTTTTAAATAATATCGAATCTGCGCAAGACGTTGTAAAACATACGCGAAACAAAAACAAAAAAAATTGATCTCTTATCTTTCAACGACCCATAAAAAGCTAATCAACACTTTCTTCTCATCTGGCCCGCTGTCGCTAACGAGACTTTTATAACTTCACATTTACGAGCACCGACGTTTTTACGCGCGTGCATGAAGACGTCGCGTGATTTCGTAATATCGCTGTCGCAAACCGTTCATCACGCGCGAAGAAACATCGGCTCGAAGCGGAAATTTTACCGTGTATATGAAAAAAAAGTTTAAAAGGAAATCGCCTCCCTGTGCCGCATACTCTGCCACGCGTCGCGCTCGAGATAGCATCGAGAAGCCACGACTTTTTCTAAGTCTTAAGACTAATAAGAGTAATATAATCACGCTGTATCCATAATGTAATCTCTTTACATGCACGTAAGCATATAAGAACTGAGTCCAGACGTTGGAGGATAAGATGACGATTCAATATCTCGGAACTAAAGTAGTTAGTGTTGTTTCCTCTAACAGAAAAATAAAGTATCATTTGTGTTTATTCTTTTATCTCCGAGGCATAGAATGACAAATGAAATTATCTTTCTAGTAGTCTTTGTTTCGAATTTTATCAGCAGTAAAGCTACATATTTAATATACGATCGGGCACACTTAGGATAGTACGGGGCTTTTTCGTCCATTTCTCGCGATAATGTTTCTGAACAGCACATATTGATTATTTAAAGGTTGTGCTTGTGCTCTCAAGGAGCAATCATGATTGGATAATTAATGTAATAAGCACATCTCTTTCAAAGAGATATTGTTTGCTATCGTAAATTTTCGTACTACTTTAAAGTTGAAACTGACAGAATAGCCCCCCCTCTACCCTATATATTGTTGATAGAAAATATTAAAGTTTGTACCAACAAAATAGGATGACAAATTAGTGGTAAAAATCAAGCAGACTAACGTACTTGTTACACGGTTTGACGTAGATTGGCAATAAAAATAGAATATAATTTGGATTCTCCAGTTTCTTCCTATCTATCAAGTTATATCAGCAAATAATGCCGACACCCTATAAGACACAATATTCTTAGAATGTTATATAAATATTAAAAAGCATAAATAACAAGGTTGGTAAAAAACATGTTTTAAATGTGTTTTAAACAGTATAAAAACATGCTTAGTTTTTAATAGGTTTTAAATATGTTTTTTTATAGTACTGTTTAAAGCATATTTGAAGCATTAAAAACATATTTAAGAAGAAACACAATATGTTTTATTCTTACAAAAAAACATTAGTTTTTACCAACCCTGATAAGGCTATGTTCCAAAATTGAATACCTCTACTGAAAATCTATAGTGCACGTAAATGTCGCATTTTCAGTGTTGGCAGTAAATTTGGAACACAGTCTAAATAATATTTATACAGTATGCGCTAAAAAAATGCGACTCTCACAACTAACACTTCAGTTATCGGCTTAGTTAAAAAAGTGAGTGAATGGGGGCAAATTTGATTATAACACAAATATTTTGTTCTTTTACCAAATATTTATTCGATATGATTTCCTTTAATTGCAATCACTGCGTTACTATGCCACACTCAGCAAACATAATAGTACTTAAAAGAGAGTCGCATTTTTTTTGGCGCATACTGTATAACATTCTAAAAATATTATGTGTTTATAGAATATGAATAACTGTATAAATATTATGAACTTAACGCGGACACAGTTGATACTAATTGATTAGCAATTTTTTATTTGTTGTCAATCAGCATACTGCGGACAGTTTATTTACTAGGATTGTTATATTATTTTTATACTATTTTTACGAATGTATCTTAAGTTCTCCCACTTTCGAGATATTGATTCGTAATCTGTGCGAGATCAGAACTCGTACCAATCATGGCGAAGATGATTACGTTTTACTCGAATTGTCATGAGGTCCATGACATCATCGAAACTGGTACCAATAATCCGTGGTTATGTAGTTCGTAAGGTTAAATTTGAAGTAACTTTAATGTGCCACCGGTGAAAGCGGAGCCGCTTGCCAACTTATGTCGCGCATTTGATGGCGCGCATATGTCTACATGCGTGATGAGACAATACGAATACCTATTCATTCGCATACACGTACATATACAGAAATAAGACACATATACACGTATCTGTTGCCAATTATATTAGAGCCGTTAGATTAGAATAGGACAATCACGATCACGACATTTTGCTCGTTTGATGTTAATCATATTATGTACGTCGATACATTCCGATATCAAAGCAAGGATCAAAATACGCTTGTAAAACGCCTTATTATTATTGAGTACTATTTTTTGTTACATTTATTGCAAATAGCATATAGATGGATATTATTAATTTTATGGATTCTATTCAATTACGCGTAAGACACATATATATTATTATAATTATATA